AAGAAATCATTTAAAGTATAGGTTTATGTGTACTTTAATCCTTGCAATATAAGTTATGTCACAAATTGATATATTTTAAAATAATAATTTTAGAAAGGTTTTTAATTGCTTTTTTACTTTTGTTTAAAATTTTTATTTAACATTTACATTACAATATTATTAGTGTTATCTTTGATTAAAATATATGCCAACACTTACAGTACTGTGATATCACTGCTACCTCTTGAACGACATCTTATAACAAATAATTATTAAGTTTTACTGATTATAACTGTAATGTACTTTACAATAATTGTATTGTACTATAAATGTATTGTGCGGTACATTTAACTCATCATATTTAAGGACTTTTCGTTCAAATCTTATGCACAGTAAGAGTAGAATATGTTAGATATAGGACTTGTTTAATGAGAATATTCTAGTATTAATCTTAAGAGTGGTCTTAATTGAAATCAAAAGTGATTTCAATATTGCAATTATTCTTATCTTTTCGGTCGTCAAAGTGTGCGATAAATGGATCACAAGTTTTGTATAAAATGAGAACAATTTTCTAAATCAAACAATAGTTAGTTTATTAGTGAATATAAAAATATAGAAATGATAGGAAGGGTGTCGTTACTCGTATGCCTTATGGCATCTTGTTGTCAATCACTGGATCAAACTATCACTTTAAGCAATGGTAGAAAAATGCCTGTAATTGGTTTGGGAACCTATAGAGCGACCGGAGATGTCATCTATAATAGTGTATTGACTGCTCTGGACGTCGGGTACAGACATATAGACACCGCCTATTTGTATGACAACGAGAAAGACATCGGAAGAGCTCTGAAACACGCGTTTAGCGAAACAAAGATCAAACGCGAAGATGTGTTTATTGTAAGCAAACTGTGGCACACTTTTCATAGCAGACCACTGGTGACCGAAGCCATTGAAAAATCGCTGAACAGCTTAGGTCTCGAATACTTGGACTTATATCTGATTCACTTTCCATTCGGGTTGAAAGAGGGAACCAATGAGACGACTCCAGTGGACCCGCAGGGAAACGTCCTCTTCTCGGACGTCGATTATGTCGAGACGTGGAAAGGGATGGAAGACGTGTTGAGCAAAGGTTTGGCCAAATCGATAGGTCTGTCAAACTTCAATCACGAGCAAATCGATCGCATCTTATCCGTGGCTAAAGTAAAGCCTGTTATCAATCAAGTCGAGTGTCACCCATATCTCAATCAAAAACAGCTCAAAGACTTTTGTAGCGAAAGGGGTATTGTTTTGACCGCTTACAGCCCTTTAGGAACCGGACGGCTACTCAACGATACGGTTGTATTGGAAATCGCGGACAAACACAACGTGACCGCCGCTCAGGTGCTCATCAGATACGAGGCTCAGAGGGGTGTTGTAGTCATACCTAAGGCCACGAGCAGGAAATATATCGAAGAAAATTTCAATGTTTTTAATATTAATTTAAGCGAAGAAGACATGAAAAGTATTGATAGTCTAAACCAAAATTTGAGATATAATGTCGTGGATTATGCAAAGAAAAACAAATACTATCCATTTAATTTACCATATTAATTTAATTTTCTATAATCAAATAATTATGAATATGTTGTCAATAAATTCAAAATTACAAGTATTAAAGTATTAATAGTTTTAATAACTCAACAATAAATTAATAACTTTAAAAATTTGATTAACATACGTATATTTGTATTTAATGTGAATTTATTTAAATAAATTATGCAATTCTATCTGTAATGAATCTTGGTAAATAAATATAGTGTTAAGTGTAACTTATTTTTGATATGAAAATATAGTTATCTAACTTTATACATTTGAATATTTGTAAATGAAATCAAAACACTTTGGCTAACATTGTTGGCCAATATATGAGACAAATAAGTGTAAAGAAAAGCGGAAACAATATTCTGGAGATGGCATCGATTCTCATGGGCAGGAACTCTGGCGTATCAGCTCTGACCGGTACTGATATCAATGACCACAACACAGCTCTCAAACCACTCAAACAATGCCTTTTCTCTTCAATCGGTGTCTTTTTAAACGCATTCTTTATTAATCGCAAGTTTTTAATCGCCTTTTCGTTCGGATATTGATTCGGGTTATTATTAATTTCCTAACATTGAACACAGTTTTCTATTATTTCCATTTAGACAACAATT